AAGTTGAAAAGCTAGTACTTATGACTGAATGAGGCGTCATATAGTACGGATAATTTGCACATTTGTGAAGGCTTCATTAATGCTGAACAATATGTAAATATTTTATGGAACAGTGTCTTCTTCAAGAAAGGGCTTATTTAGAAGAATAATGCCACACTAAATTCTCCATGTAATACAACAGCATGGATCTTTCATAAAAGACTGCGGCTGGAAATGTAGACCTGTCACTTATTGAAAGCATTACAAAATGAAAAGTATAACTGAACTGCTGAGCAGCTCATATCCTTTATTAAGAAAAAAAATTGGTCAAATCAGTTCCCAAATAGTTAGTTTTGTTAAATAAATGCAATGCAGTATCATGTAATCAAATGGAAGCCACAACTTCTCATTTTCAACATTTAATATCTTGTCTTAATGACAAAGTCATTTTCAATTATTACATTTTGGCATTACATTTTGTACATTATCGCCAACAGGCTTCAAAACAGGGTTACAGTTTTCTCTTACAATGTATTTGTGATTTTTGCCTCTTGTTCAAGGCAAACACCAGTGTTGCAGGCGCTGTGCCTGATACTTGGCTGCCCATGTAATGGGCCAAGCAATTTCAGTGCTTCAGGTTCCGGACATATGACATCAGCAGAAGGGGCTGGAGCTTGAAACACCAAGCTTGCAATTAGTGGACACTCTGCTGTACCATCTGAACCATAACTGACATCTTCCTTACTAACATTATTATTGTGGCTTAAATGTAGCTTAAAGAATTTCCACAATGACAACATAAAACCCTAAAAAGGGAAACAAGAAGTTTGTAGTTTTCACACAGATCATTAAAAAGTCACAGCAGTGATGTTAACATAGTTAGAGTCTCCAAGCAGCTCAAAATTGATAAAATTAAAATCCTTAGATTATTTATGTTTGTCTCAGGGAGGAATTCATGATTTTTACAGTGTAATGTTAAATAAATATGTTTGTTTGTATAAATTTAAATTCTGAATTTGAATAATGTCATGTACTGCTTGTGAGTTTGTTTTTTGGCTGGGATTATGGAGAAAAACATGACTGTCACTTGAGACAGACCCTGTCATCTACCCTGGCTGGCTGGCTTTTGTTCCTTTTGCTTGCAGTGTTGCCTTTCATTTTGTCAGAGTGGGTTCATTTCTTCGAAGGTGGAAGGCAGAAATGCTAGTAACAATCCATAATACTTGTGCAATTTTACTTTCTCTTTTAAACCATTAATCTTGATCTCAGTGGTGAGAGCTGCTGTCTCTATTATAAGCATGTATTTCCTTTATTAAAAAACCAGAAAAAGAAAAAAAAATTCTCTTTGTTTGGCAGGATAAAATGATAGTAATGAATCTAAGAATCATTAGTGTCACACTCAACAAGAGGAATGTTTGAGTTAAAAATCTAGCAGGTGAGATTTCCACAGCAGGCATTGGAAAATCAATGTCTGTCAGTTCTTATTTACAGACATGAGAGAAGGTCACTGGGTAAGAGGGCACAGTGGCAAAAAAGTGCACTAGACAATGTGGTGGGTGACTGAAAGGCATTAGCCACTGTAGTGGAGTTGGAGCAGGTGTAGCGTTGGGTTATCAACAGATAACCTTAACAGGGCTAAAAGTCATAGAGTTGGTTTTGGTTCCTATTAGTTAGCTCAGTTTTCAATAGACAAAGGTGTAAAAGTATTGCACGAGTTTACATTGTTCTGTGCAAATCATTTTATAGATATTAAAAATAATGTGAAACCTGAGTAACCTTTGGTTATGACAGTTTGCTGACATTAAAAGCAATATTAGTGGTATATCATTTACAAAGCCTATCCTTTATGTGTTCAAAAGAAAGTAGATTTTAGTAGGTGTAAAAGTGGAGACTGTGACGTAGTTTCACCAAAAGTGAGATGTTATACTAAAGAGATTAATACTGAAGTTACTGTTGCGCATTCACTTTTCTGACAAACCGTAAACAGTATCGTATAAGGACACATCCCCCTACAGGATCTGCTTGGCCAAAACCATTCCACGAAGTCTTGGTGCACAGTTTTTGTGCTGATGTTTACTCTGAGAGGGTGGTTTGGAACCCTGTAGTTATTGAGTCAGCAGAGCACTCGTGACTTTTACACACTAAGATCCTCAGCTCACAGCAACCCTGTTCTGTAAGTCTTTATGGTCTGCCATTTTGTGGCTGAGTTGCTGTGGTTCCTAAACCCTAGCACTTTGCAATAATACCACTTACAGTTGATTGTGGAATTTTTACAAGGGAAGACATGCAGCAAACTTAGTTTTTGCAATCTTGGCATCCTGTTACAGTACCACACTCGAATTCAGTGAGCTCTTTAGAACGACACATTCTTTCTCAAACATTTTTAAAGGCAGACTACGTTGTTAGGTGCCTAATTTTATACACCTGTGTATAAAACCTGTGGATTTAAAACACCTGAATTCAAAGATTAAGACATTTGGCCCAATACTTTTGTCTGTATAGTATGTCAGTTTGACATAATTTACCATAAACATTAGATCAAGGGTCACATGTGCATATGCTTGTGTTGCTAACACTAATTGCTAACAAATCATAAAGTATGTGTTTACAAGTGATCATCCTCTGAAGTGGAATCCTCAGCTTAGCTGAAAGTGGACTTTGCCTCAGTAAGCCAGACATTCAGTCTGTTCCCTTCACTGGTCAGTTGTGAAATAGTCACTTTGATCATCATGCAAGGGCCACAGTAAAGGCGCAGAGAGGGCAGTGAACAGTCACGTGCTGACCTTTTTAAGTCCAAATGGTGGTAAATTAGTTCAGTGTTTACTACTGTCATGAAGCTAAAGAGTCAAATATATCAATGTTCTAAGTCTGATTTACTTGGATTTGAAACAGTTAATTAATGAATTATTTATGAATGTTGTATTTACTATTTATTCTTTGTGTTTTTATTGAGAGTTTTTGAAATTGATAGGAAACTGATGACTGCAGGGACACACTCTTTTTACAGTTAAGTGATTAATCATATGCTGAACTTCTATTCAGAGGTAGCTGCTTCAGTAGAGAAGCTTACTGATCAACATTTACTCTCATTGTAGGTTTAAAATAAAATGTGTTCTTAGCATCTAACAGTATTCAGTGAACTAAATCCAAGTTTATACGCCTGGAGTCTTGAATTGCTTATTCTATATTTACAGGGAAATATATATTGCTCAGAATGGAAATCAAGCTGATGTATAAAGTAAGGACACATCACAAGTGTCAGTGTTTGGGTCATACATCTCATAATAAACTGATCAGCCGAGGGGTTATAGAAGCATGCTTCATTTGTCATCTGTGTTTCTGTAGGATATTTTTACATGTGAAAGACATTATATATTGTCTCAGTGTGCTGTTTACCAGTTATGTACTAAATGGTTGGCTTCAACACATTCTTTTGTTCAATGCTGCCTTCCACAGCAACACAGTTTAAGTGAGCATGGTTGTCTTGAACACTAGCACATGGTTTCCATTGTTCCCAACTACACACTAAATGATACAGCCAGTATTAAATGTCATGTGCGAACTGCGAAACCTTCCTTTTCATATTTGTCTTGCCTCTCTACAGCGCAGCAAAACCTTAAAACTAAACTTGAGGTATGCCGAGTGTTTTTCCTCTCATTTAGCTTTGTGTAACCTCATTTTGTTATCAAACCATTCTTACCAAAATTTCAACCAGAACTTTTCTCTTTGCTGAAGTGCCAATGCAGTTAGCTTCTAAAAATAGAAATACATTTTGTATGTCTTGAAAAAAATCAATAAGAATACAATTTGATGTATTGTTTTTGGAGGCAAATATCCGTTGCTTTGTGGTGAATTAAAAACATCCTGCAGTATCACTTATGTCATCCTGGCCATGTAAATGTTAATTTAATTAAAGTGACTGACAGATGAGAAACAAGGGAAAGCTATAAGGAGGAGTGGAAGAGAATGAAGCTGGAAGAAGATGGTGTTCACTAAAATAAAAAGCTGAAAAGACAAAAAGGAAAAATGTGTGGTGAAAGGCAAGAAACTCCAAATGAGAGAATGCTGATGGAGATGGAGGAGGGGAGGAAGTGGGAAAGGTCTAGAAAGGAAGATGGATGGTGTGTATGAGACTGTGATAAAGGCTGAGAGGTGGAGAGGAGAGGAGAAGCTAAGGGAAAGAGAAAATAGGAGGCTGAACAGTGTATGAGATACCGAGCGAACAGGAGATGATGGGGAGTGGTAACTGTTTCTATGGCAATCTTGTTGTGCTGTGGTAGCTTTTTTTCCTAGCCAGTGGTGCTGGAAGATTTTCATTTTTTTGTGCTGAACTCAGTGTTCTACCCAAAAATATCAAGTCCAGATTGTTTCCCCTCGCTCGAGTGTTGTTGTTTTTTTGCAGCATTCGATGTACAGTGTTCCTACTAAAACCATCCTGGAAGCAAGATTACTGTCTTGGCAATTTGGACATCGTAACTGCCTTTGGGCAGTTATTTTGCAACTCCTATCTAAATGAACGGGGAGACATTAGTAATAAACTCCATTGATAGAATTACTGGAATTTTCTTCATTTCCTTTATTCATTCCTTTATTATGATATCCATAGACTTGGATAATAATGAGCAGATGTGCCTGTCACATCACAGTTGAAAGTGTTATGATTCACAACTGCATGTATCTGTGCAGCAACACAGTTGTATCATATGTTTCCTGCTTTAGCTTTTAATTGGCTTTTGGCAAAGGGATTGGGGGATAAATGCCTTGCCGTTATTGAGTTCTTCCATAGATTTCTATTAAGGATTATTACTCTGAGTCTCTGGTGCTTATTTCATGCAGCTTTGGTCTAGAGCACATCATGGTTCAGGGGTATGTCCTTATCATTTGCAAAGGAAATAGGCCTGTATTTATTTTTTATTAGCATAACAACCAGAATTCAATATGTTATGCAAAAATGTCTGCATAATGTCTTGTTTTCCTTTTTAAAGTAACAGTTTACTTGTCTTTTCCATTACCTTCTCTAGCCTTCCCCTGGTTTGGTATGGACATTGGTGGGACTTTGGTCAAGTTGGTGTACTTTGAGCCAGTCGATATAACTGCAGAGGAAGAACAGGAGGAAGTGGAAAACCTCAAGTCAATCCGCCGCTACCTCACCTCAAACGTTGCCTATGGTATGACTATTTACACATGCAGATGGATATACGTAGGTATCTCTCACTGATATATTTTACAGTTTTACAATTTATGAGATGAATTTTGTTATCAGCTTCAAATTCAGCTTTTGGGTCACTTGAGTGTTCAAAAGAAATTAAAAGCATAACACAAATCAGGAGGCAATACCATATGGTAAAATTATTCTTTCCTTATTCAGGTAAAACAGGTGTCCGTGACGTTCACCTGGAGCTGAGGAATCTGACCATGTGCGGCAGGACAGGAAACCTGCACTTCATTCGCTTCCCAACACAGGCCATGCCCCGCTTTATTCAGATGGGACGGGATAAGAACTTCTCTAGCTTGCACACAACACTCTGTGCCACTGGAGGCGGGGCTTACAAGTTTGAGAATGAGTTCAGAATGGTGAGTGTGCAGTATATACAGAGATAACATCTCAGTATCAGTGGTACTGATTAAACATTGTGACATAATTACAGTGAATAGTTGATTAATCAAATACTTAGTTGATTGAAAATAGATATGTGGTGTAGTGGTTACCACATTCGCCTAACATGTTAAAGTTCCCCAGTGCAAGATTGGGAGGAGACACAAATCCTTCATGTCTGAAAATCTGTGTCAATTCAAATATACAGATTACTTCACGGTGGTTAACCTTTGCAAATAACGGCAGATTTAAAGTTTTGTGCAGTGACTCTTTATACAGCCCACGACGTAACCAATGCAAGCAACCAGCACTATTGCAAGGATTCATACTTTGCGTGGTGCAATAAGTGTTAATTACATTTTGGTCATGTCCTAGTATTTTACAGTATTTGTTGTTGTTTTTTTAACCTCCTAGGACCTGGCGTCCACATATGTGAACGTCACATTTTTGGTTGTCAAGACCAAAATACTAAATTTTGCTCTACAAGGGCCTGATATCCACTTACGAGGACATTATACTGCCACTGTTCTATCAAAATTTAAAACGAATGTCCTCTTATGTGGATCTCATTTTTCTTAGAAACAAAAATCAGGTTAAAAAGAAAAAATCAGGTAATTCTTTGTTTTTACATTCATCAGGTCCCAATCAGCCCAAATAGCAAAGAGAAATTGAAAATGCATGCCATGAAAGAGTTCGGGTCTTAGGAGGTTAAGGCAGTCGTCTTTGCCCCTCAAGTTTTTCTACATCTTTGTCCATTCTGATAGTTTCAGCAGTCTCTCTCCAGGAGTTTGCTGGTAGTCGTGACTACTTTTATTGAGGTTTTGATTATTTCTTATATTGAGGTGACTTTTAGTCTCTCACTGATCCATTCAAAAGTTGCAGTGAAAAAGTAGCTGGAAATACACAGGAGTAACCACCTGTACAGAACAAGCAAAGGGAATTTACATTTCTAGGGAGGTCAATATCAGTTTGTGGCATATAGGGTTTCAGAAGGGGACTTTTTTTTTGTCTTTGGTGCCCATTTTTGATATGTTAATTCAAACTCTAGATAAACAATCAAGAAAATGGTTAATAGATGAATAAATGGGACAAAAAGTGCAAAAAATCTAGGTCATTTGTTTAAAGAATCGTGTTTCAATGTAATTTCCTCAGAAATTCTTGCCTTCCCTCACAGTACCTTTTTACCTAGGTTCATTGACCATGTCTGCACTTCAGCAGGATCAGTGAAATCTCTGACACTGCACAAACTGTGCTAAATGTCATCAATTCAACCTCAATGTGTTTTAAAATATTTTAATGTCTCACGTCTACACTCATGTTTTTTTTCTTTATCTCTAAAAGTCATAGCCCATAGTTCTTGGGCTCTACTATTTTCTACAAGCAACCAGTTTTCTTCTTAATTTTTACGCCGTTACCATCATGCCAATTTACAGTAATCCACATTGTATACTTTTATAGGAATGTTGATAGTCTAGTCTGCTTTTGGATAAGGAACTATTTAATTTTTAAAGACCATTTTCAGTGAGGTTTTGAAAGTCATTTTAATACTATACAACTGACAAATCAAGGGTTTCAAAGAATGTTTTACTTTAAATAATCAGGAACAATTTGGCAGATAAAGTAGTGCCTTATCAATGTTTTAAACCTCCTACATTTGTGAGCAGATGGCTGACCTGGAGCTGCTTAAGCTGGATGAGCTAGACTGCTTGATTCGTGGTCTGCTGTTTGTCGATCGGGTAGGCTTCAACGGACACCCTGAGTGCTACTACTTCCAGAACCCATCAGATACCCAGAGCTGTGTGAAGAAGCCCTGCACTTTGGACAACCCCTTTCCTATGTTGCTGGTCAACATTGGCTCAGGAGTCTCCATACTGGCTGTGTACTCAGAGAACAACTACAAACGGGTGACTGGTACCAGGTGAGGAGAATGGGAACCTCTTTAATGGTGCACACAGAATATTTATAAGCAGAGTGGAAGAATATAATAATAAGAATATAATTTTTAAAAATTCAAATTAGATAAGTTTTAAGATAATTAAAAAAAACTGATCAAGAGATTAATGATGCAGTGTGGCTACTGTCACAGGCAAGTGATGGTGTGTAGAACAGTCCATGTCAGTAGAAGACAATACCAATAAGTTATTAACAGAAGTATTAATTAAGCACAGAGAAACTATATTGGAGTTCAGCTCCAATAATAATTTAAGAAAAGTAAAAAATTATATATATATAGATAAACTATAACTAAACTATAAACTATAGATAAGTGTTTATTTTTATTTTTTATTTTTCACTCAATAATAGAATATACACATTATTCTTCACATTAACAAACTTGTTAAAAAAATGTTTCTATAACCCGGCTGTGAAATAAACTCATTGTTTGAAGCAAAATTTATGGAAGAAAAAGTGCCAGTGATAGAAAATAGGTGCTGTTTCAACCAAGTGATTTCCAACCTAATAAACAACAGAAGGATTACAGCTGTTTGTTGTTGTAGTGAACTCCTCTTAAGCCCTACATCTGTGTCCTTTGAACATGAAGTTCTGCATGAGAAGTATTTTTCAAGAGTATGTGCAAAAGGTGAAGGTGGCACTTTTATGGCTTTAGTAGATCTGGCAGATATGCCAGACTCAGTTGCTTGAGTTGCGACAGTCATATTCATTATCATCTTGTGTACCTTAGTACTTACAAAGTAGTAGAACTAGATATGATCATAGAATGAACTGTAAATATTTGTAAGAAAATGAAGTTACTTCTACCCATTATGAGTTCTACAAAGAGTTTTTCCTTTGATGATATTAGGATTTACTCAGCCTCCTGAGTATTCTGTAATACAGTGAAATCATATTTGACCTTAAAAACAAATTTTTTCAACTATGGCCAGTCGCTGTTGTCGCAGTGTACCTCTGGTCATTCTTTACTTCCTTGTTCTGTAAATGGCAAGTGTGTCTTATTGCAGCTACTCACCGTGACATCAATGTTTATGTGTGCGTGTACAGCCTCCATCTGAATCTATTGCACTGTTCCAGGAAGAGAAACATGATCAAACAGAACTCACTTGTTGTGGGTGTGAGTAGTGTGGGCTAGTTGAGGCACAAAGGCTTTATACATTAATGTTGTATAAAGTATTTTATTTCAAAACAACTGTCTCGTGTTGGCTCTGTTTCTCCTCACTTATTCTGGCACCAACTAGGTGTTTATTTTGTAGCATATTTTAATCGAATGTATTTATATAGCCAGTTTAAAAATATTCTCTAGCATATGCAAAGATACAAAGAAAAATAAAATGAATAATATGGAGTTTAAATAAAGACATAAAAGTAGAAAAACATAGTAAACTAAATCTTGAATACTAAAATGACAAGTCACCCAAAAGCCATAAAAACCATAGATGTGTTAAGATTTGTATTATGAGCTTTATTTTACAGTTGAAGCATAATGTGTGAGACATTTTGTTGGCCTAGGACTTGACATTTGTTCCAAGGTTGGAGTTGATATGGGCATTTTTTGTGTACTGTCAGTGTTAAAGTGTTCACACTATTTCAATTGCTTCATTAAACTTCAGTAGCATTTTTCTCCCTTCTTTTTCTTTGATCTATAATTTGTTGTTTACACCCTTCAGTCTGGGAGGTGGTACATTCCTGGGGCTTTGCTGTCTGCTCACTGGCTGCGAGACGTTTGAGGAGGCTTTGGAAATGGCTAGCAAAGGTGACTCTACAAATGTGGACAAACTGGTGAAAGATATCTATGGGGGAGACTACGAGCGATTTGGTCTACAGGGCTCTGCTGTAGCATCCAGGTAACATCTCTTTTTTTTCTTTCTATATTTAAAGCTTCTTGTTTTTGTTTTTTAGCGGTACAATGAAATACAGACTGATCCCAGGAGTGTTTGTATACATACTATAAAATAGACAATAAATAGAACAGTGTGATGCAATGAACAGAGCTGTGTTTGGTTTGTATTACTGAACTTTGACCAGGATGCACATCTTGTATTTATCTGGTTGTCCGGTGTCTTCGCTTCTGACATGATAATGAAAACAATGAAATGAAAACAATGAAAACCAGTGAATTCATGTGAAACTGAACATTTTAGTTAAGTGCATTTCATGATTTAGTAGCTTGGAGAACCAGCTTTAGAAGCACTAACTTGAAGTAAGCATTATCTCTGACTATCTGCTTGACATTAAGAGGCCTGTCCCACCAAGTCTGGACTTTGACTGGGCCGTTGCAACAGCTTGATTGTTTTATTTCTCAGGTGTTCTGTTTGCTTGGGATCATTGTCCAGTTGCATGTCCAAATTGGGGCCACGTTTTAAATGTTAGACGGATGTCCTCACATTTGACCTACTTGTTCAGTCTTTTTCTTATTGTAGTGAATTTTAACATGCTAACTGAGGCCTGTAAAATCTGAGATGTAGCTCTTAGGTTTCTAGCATGTCCACTCCTAGGAATATTGTGGCTGTGTGTTAAAACTAACTTGAACACTCCAGAACAGCAAACTGGCAAACCATCTGCTTTTATATAGGTGATCACAGCTGCAGATGATTTATAAAAAATTAATCTGTTGCATTTGATTAGGAGAGTCTGTCTGCTCTTTATTTCTGTGGAAGCAATAAGAGTGTACTGTAGTTTTCACAATGTTATGCTGTTTCACATGACACTGTTTATGTAACACTTGTAATTTTTGTAGATGTCACAGGAGATGTTATAGGAGCTTATTTCAGCTGGCTGCACTGCATCTGTGGTGGACTGCATTATTTACTGTTAAAATACTATTTGGTTATTGTAACTAGGGCTGTGCGATATGACCAAAATCTCATATCCCAATATAAGACATCTATCGTCCGATAACGATATAAATCACAAAAATTCAAAGTTTTCTGAAAATTCTGTGAATCTCGGGCAGCTCGACTTGCGTGAAGTGTTTCAAGCTGGGCGTCGTGTACCTGGAGTCGAATGTTTTAACCGATGCATGAAACTATACATTTTTAGACATAAGTTGTAACAGCTGCCGTTTTCTTTGTGAGTATTTATTACACGGCGTGCTGCGGGGAAAAGCCTGTTCTAACGTTTGAGTCAAAGGTTTATTTTTTAGCACCTGATGGCTCTTTTTTGCTTCTCATCCGTAAATACTCTGCATACTCTTTCACGTGATTCAGTTTATTTTGAAAAGTCTCAACAGGATCTTGAGCTTTATTGTGAAAGGTTTATGTGGAAAATAAATAAGCGGACATGGAGGGTTTTACCATCGTCGTTGTTAACGACAACGCATAAAAAACAGGCACTTGTCCATCGGTAGCGTGGTTATATTAAACATAGGAGAAAGAGAGAACTTTAAGAAATTAATATAGCCACTACAGTGACCATCAAAACTATGAAAAAATATTGCCGTAAACAGTTTATTTTGCGACACCACAAAACAAACGATAGCAATGTTTTTATATCGTCATCCGATATATATCGTTATATTGAGCAGCCCTAACTTTAACTATAAAAGATTAATAAAATGGGGAAAAAACACGTTGTAGATGCAGATACAACACTAGAGTAAATCTTAATCTGTGTCTCTGATTAAAAGCTGGAAAACCTAAACTGATATTTACTCACTAAAATGCACACCTGATTAATCAATAATCTAATTGTGTAAAGTGGATGAAATTGCCTTGGAACTTGATGAGTGAGCTAAAAGCTCTGATTTATGTGCTCACATAAATTGCTCATTTAGCACAATGAGATAAGAGGATAAATTATCCAAAATTGTGTGGACATTGTTTAATTGCAAAAAAAAAGCAAAAACATACCAATAAATGAACAGTTAGTTATAAATATTTTACACAGAGACACACTGTGCTCATGTGCTCCGGTTAAACTGAATTTACCATGTATACAGTAAACCTGCAGCTCTGGGTCCAAAGTTGATCCATAAAGCATTGTAAAAACACATGTAATCACAGTTATCAAGTTCTAATCAGTGTTTTGTTATGGTGTTCTTTTTAGTGATTTAATGAAACGAAAAACACACACAAATACACACACACACACCCAGTGACAGTTGCTTCAAAAGGTTTTTAAATAATTTATGGGTTCACTTTTTTTTTGTTTCCGTTTTTTGTTTGTTTGGTTTTTTTAATGTGAAGAGTTAATCAGACTTTGAGGAAAATGTCTTTTACATGTTGGGTTTTTTTATGGTCTCTTTTATAGTTTTGGTCACATGATGAGCAAAGAGAAGCGAGACAGCATCAGTAAGGAAGACCTGGCCAGAGCCACTCTGGTCACCATCACTAATAACATAGGATCCATAGCACGCATGTGTGCAGTCAACGAGGTACACACACACACGCTGAATCAGTCAACTATACCCAGCTAATCATAACAGCCATATAAAGGTTATGTAATACAGATACTTGCATGAGTTTATCTACTGTTTCATAAACCTCTAAGATAGTTTCTTTGAGTTCTTAGAAACAGACACCCAGACCAGAATTTAGTCATTGCATCACCCATCGACACTCCTACACCTAAACTACTCTTTACTGGCTACTCAGGATTACCAAAAACATAAAATCAACTAATTGTTCTTTACAAACACATTCAAAAGTTACATCTTATGGCTTGCTATAGCTATTTAACAATAGAAAAGAAAAGTTCTTTGTTGTTGTGTGTGTCCGTGGTGGTGGGGGGTGGAGCTTTTTTTTTTGTTTAGTTTTTTTGTTTTTGCATTTTTAGAAGTCCAAATATATTCCTTAATTTTAAGTTTTGGGTTTTTTTTGGTAAGGTTGCTGGATTTGTTTATATTTTAAATCATGCTTATGTTTTGGGGGTTTTTTTGCTGGCAAAAACAAAATCACCAGATTTCACACTTATGTTGTAATATTTTGTAAATAGCCAGCTGTAAGCTATAAAACAATTCTGGGATTGGGGTTACTCGTACTATGTGACAACAATTTATTAGTTTTAATAGGCAACTGTAAAATTAATTTAAAAACCAAAACCATAGCAGCTAAAGCTGAAGTAAAGGATCAGTCTGGAGTATTTCTACATGCTGTGAGCTTCTTTACAGTGTTGCCTTGTGGCATGGCGATCAAGCAGCATTGTACAGGGCTATCACTGCATGCAGAGCTGCAGCGAAGAAAAACGTGCATATATAGGGTTATGGAGGGTTTCTTTTAAATGACTTGGTAATAAAATTAAGACCCGCATTTTATCATAAACAAAAATCTTGATAACTGGATTTTAGTCCTGTATTTGACCATTATATTGGCAAAGAATTGTGCTGTTTAAGCTACATCGACAAACACAAAGTTACCCTGCTAAGTTTTCAGGAAGAATTACACACTTGCATACACCACAGCAGGATGTTTTTCAAGATTTTTGTGTCTTTGGTATTCTACCAGATTTCATCAGTGTTTGTTTATTGGTTCTCTAGCACCACCATGTGGTGGTGCTAGAGAACCTTTATTTTATTTATATTTTCTTTATTACTATATTTGCAGATTATATGCCTTTTATTATAGTCAGTTTTTAATCAAATTTGCATGGCATGGATTAACTGTCAATTTCATAAGAAACATTTACCTTTAAAATATTTTATTTCACCAAATGAAAGACCTGGGATTTAGTATCACTTTGGTGACCGTGTCCAGGGACAGAGCGGAGAAAAATAAGAACTCTGCAGTTCATTATTCCTTGTTAGGCCATATGTAAGGATTTTAGTGTCACACTAATAAAGGATTTTCAAAGCCTATAAAAATATTAGATCTAAAAATTAAGTATATTGGCGGAACTCTTGATAAAGAGAACATAACCTAACATTTTTTATGTGTAGCTATTTATGAGTCATTACTAAGATGACAGGAGCGTTTAGAAATGACCTTTCTTCATTATCAGAACAATTTGTGAATTACTTGTTTAAACTCTTGTTTGTTGGGTCTCAGTTTCTCTAAAATTATTTTTTTCTTCTTTTTCTCATAAGAAAATTGAGCGTGTGGTGTTTGTTGGGAACTTCCTCCGTATCAACACAGTGTCCACCAAGCTGCTAGCTTATGCCATGGACTACTGGTCCAAAGGCCAACTAAGAGCTCTCTTCCTTGAACACGAGGTAAGCAAACGGCTGTCCTTTTATTAAATTAAAGCGATTACTTAATGTGTTTATAATAATTATAATCATTATATTTACCCTCAGAAACAAACCACTGGTTGGTTACATGATAAAAGCCTATAAGATATATTTATGTGCTTGTCTTTTTGCTCCAGGGTTACTTTGGAGCTGTGGGAGCACTGATGGAGCTGCTCAAGACAACAGAGGACCCCTGAAGGAAATTCTGTCAGGACAACATCAACTCTTGACAAGACGATGTCACCTGCCCTTGAAGGCCGTGATGTCTTAATGCTGTGACATCATCAACTTTTGAAGCTGCTGAAAGGTCCCATTCGTCGAGGCCACAAAAGGAACACTAAGAGAGAACACAGAAACTGATAAAAGCCATTTTTAATAATTTAACACCTGTAAATAACAATGACCTCTAATATTCATCTCTTAAATTTCCCATCATCCCCCTATCATAGACGTTTAATATTGTAATCTTTTATTTATGGTTTCCGTTAATGGGGTCTGCTGATTCGTGTAATCAGCCCTATGTCAGGAAGCAGAGACAAAAAGTATTTTGGTGTATTTTGTTATTGTGTTTGTGTGAATAGCTACTGTAGCATTACATCCTGGGGACAGTAGTGCGCCGGGAAACAATTTGTGCAACAGTTCTTTAAAATGGGATACCTTTGCAGAAGAGTTAACTGCTGAATGAGGGATTTGTACCACCAGCAACTCAAGGAAACATCACCTTTGGGCAGCTGTGGTTGCCGGTTTGTTGCACAAAAAGTAGCCCATTGCTCTACTGTTTCTGCAGAGTGCACTGAAGCCAAAACCTGTTGAGATTCATACTTTACCTGCCTCCTTCAGCTCCAATGGGAAGCAAAAAAACAAACAAACAAAAAACGGTCTTTATTTTGCTCTACTGCATATGGCCTTTGCTTTTTGTTTGTCTCTCCTTTGTCTGCCTATATGTAAGCAAAACTAGCACCACCAGATTGCCATGCATGCATACTCAACCTGCTGAGTTTAGTGTTAGGTGACGGGACCAAGACGTTGTCTTCCAACAGATTGCAGTGCATCATTGATTTCTGTTCTGTTCTGTTCTGTTCTGATTGGCATCGCCAGAACTACTGTTAAGGACCCAGTCTGACTCGGCTGCTTGTGTTTTTGATGTATGAAATACTTGATCTGATCTTTATATTTATTTCTGTTTTTCTTTAACTTCCCTGTTTTCTGTCAGTGTCAGGAAGATGGAAGCTTCATTCATCCTTTTCTGGCTTTTCTGCCACGCTGATGCCTTGTTTGGGGATTTGTAGTGTGAGTTTAATAAATGTTCAGACTCAGAATCCCAACATAAAAAATAGTTAGCTGATGATGCAAAGGTAAAGTGTCAGTTTGGGGGAGACAGCTAGGAGTCATCCCAACATGTTAGACTGTTTACCATTCTGGTGCCGACACTGTTGGTAGCTGTTTTAGGTTTGGACCATTAATTGTATTTTCCCCCAAACCCCAATTACTCGTCTCTAAAAACAAGCACTTACAGAATTTTAAGAGTTGCCCAACATTCCCAAGAATTTTAAACAGGTACTTTAGGCTTGCTGTGAAACAACCATAAAAACCTGGAAAATATCCAAATCCAAATTGTCTAAATTGAAATAATTGGTGAGTATTAGCCACAATTATGTGGTAGACTTTGAACAGAGAATGGGCTTCATATGCTATTGCTGCCTGTTTGCACTGATCTAAGTCTATATTGACACTAGCACTATAAACAAGTCTATTTTTAACACTTAGGGTAATACCCATAGGATCAGAGACTCAGACCCTTTGAACCGAGAGCCAGTCCAGATTTCTGCACTGAGGTAACCGGGGCTGAAATAACACACTTGTATATTTATCATATACTTGAAAATGGCACATAGAGCTTTAATATGTAATAATTTAGCATTGCCATTTTTTAAAGGAAACATAGCGTGATCTGCGATTATTTGAGAATGCTGAAACTTAGTTAACATGAGCGCATGTTTGCATGGACACAGGAAAGGTTTGTGTTATTTACTAAGCTTAGAAACAACAGTTGTAGGGAGACCCACTACTAGTAAGTTTTCCATTTGCTATAAGAATTGTCTAGTGTTTTTCGAGAAACAGACCACAAGTGTATTACGCTGTTATGTCCCACCCACCTTCACTTCCTAGCCTGAACCTTTCCAGCCTTTCTTTTTATCATAAAAGCAGCTGAGCTATAAAGCTGGGCAAAGCAGGAAATACTGTCCACTGTTTTATATTAGGCGTAACTGTCTACCTGCCTTTACTCTCCCGAATAGAAACTATGCGCTTTACGCAATCTCGAGTTAGTCGTCGCTTAATTCGCCTTCAATCATTAGACTTTTTATCAACACTCACACCTCCAGCTGTGTTCAGTATTGCGGATTTTGTGAAAATCTTACCTACAGTACCTGAATAACACAGATATAAACTTAAAATTACAAGGGTAAAATCCTAAGGATCTAGCTTAATGTAGCCTACTAAAGTATTCTCAACATTTTATTGACAAATATTGTCCCCACTTCACCATCTAACACAGCGGTCCTCAACCTTTTTTGCGCCACGGACCAGTTTATGCCCGACAATATTTTCATGGACCGGCTTTTAAGGTGTCGCGGATAAATACAACAAAATAAAACTAGTACCGGTACCGAAAAAAAGAAAATTTATTCATAACACACGTGAAAAGACCAAGGAAAACTGAGTAAATGATAAAAACGATAACAAAATAACGCTGAAAACCGATAAAACCCCTGAAAACTATACATTTCACACCTGAGCCTCAACTCTCGCGGCCCGGTACCAAACGACTCACAGACCGGTACCGGTCCGGGGGTTGGGGACCGCTGATCTAACATACACACTGACTACACTTTGACCCTGACCCTTAAGCTGCTTTGCTGATCTGTTTGTGTTTAACACATAGGAGGGTAGGATCATAGACCACTTTTTGTGATACGTTTATTTTAAACTGACACCCATAGTGCAATAACACCTAAAAAGATTTTCTTGTGAATTGAAAATGCATCATTGTTTCCCATTTGGTGATTGAACAGAATCAAAATAGATAATTATACTTTTTTTGTGACAAATGGTTTGGGTTATCTGTCTCATTGTAGTCCAGCCAGTGTGATTCATACTAAAAGTTTGTATTTAATTTCTGCTGAAAGGTTAACAGGCTTTATAAGCTTTGTAATGGCTTGAACAATGTAAATGCCGTCACTTATGCAAGTGTTTTTAGTAACAGTGTAGTGAAATAATGGAGGCATAATATTGTGAAGAGAGGTTTTGCAATTGCTTCCTCAAAAATGATCAAGGTTTCCTGATGTTTTCTTTTAACTGTGATGACACTGCAAACTGTGACACAAGCTATGCTTTCTTCTCTGTGTGTTTTTCTTTTTCTGTTTTCCCCCCTTTGCCTTGTACCAACTGATGTTTGGATGTTAATTAGTGACCTCAATCTGTCAGGTGCCACTCTGCTTTAAAATCAGGCTGGAGTTTGATAACTTGTGCCACCACTTCATTTAATCTAAAAAACCAAATCATTTGCCTTTTAACATGTGTTAGCCTGGTTGCACCGTGTTTGTGTCCTTCAGTTCCCTGCTACTTCACCTCATTTTTACAAGTTTTAAGTTTTACTCTTGCTTTTTTTCTCCTTTTCATTTGTACTGTAACAGAAGATTCATTGCAGTTAATACCCATTCAGAGTCTGAATATCAAAGTGTCCACCTGCAGTCCCAAGTGGATCTTGGTACATAAACAACATTAACCTTCAGTGCTAGCTTTGGTTTCTTTTGTTTTTTATTTTATTTTGGTAGAGGTTGTGACTGTCTTTTTTTTTTTAATCCTTATTTTTTGTGGCCAGTAAGGAGTGATAATGTGAGTTGGCATCTTTTTGTGTGTGTGATTTCAAAATGTCTAAAATGCCTGTTTTTTGTTTTTGTTTTGTTTTGTTTTGTTCTCTATTGATATTTCCATTGATTTCAGTTGGCCCAACAGACCAGTGTAATTGCTTCCAGCCGTCATAATCTGTCAATGTGCAGAAATCTGTGGGAAAGCGTTGAAAGTTTTACTTTTTGAACACATATCACCACTGTCTGCAGAACATTGTTTCGCAGCACAGGGGAACATCTTTTTATGGAAACCAGTGGTTGTATCTTTTTACTTGGTGTTAGGGGAAGCATTTTGAGATGATACATAATCACTGTAGAACATAAATGATATGTTGTTAATTTTACTGTTCAGCCCTATATCCCCACTAACAATTGCAAGCTATTACATAATTTTCATACTCCAGAAATTTGAAGCTGGTGTTATAGACTGTTGTGGGATTATGGGATTATATTGAGTTTAGATACGTTTAGTATTGTTGAAACTAACTGGTGTACTTGCATACTGTTGTAGCTTCACTGTTTCTAATGAGAACACTTGCTGGGTTTTAAATTCTTCAGATAAAATGTTTATGGAACTGCATCATGCTGTAGATAAAATGTGAAACAAGAATTAAGTCCTTTTAAGGAAATGAACTACTAAGTGGTGGGTTTTTCTGTTATCATAAGTGATCAGTGTGGGTGTCTGTCTGCTTTCACAGCTGTCTGAATTTAGAGTTTGCTGTTTGAACATCACTAACACTTTTTTGGTGTTTTATTTCCCATAGGAAGGGACCATCTGTATTCAGACCAGTATGTATTTCTATGTACTGTACAGAGTCTTGGCCTACAGCAGGGGTCCCCAATCTCAGTCTATGAGGGCCGGTTTCCCTGCAGGTTTTAGATCTCACCCTGAGTCAACACACCTGAATCACATGATTAGTTCATTACCAGGCCTCTGGAGAACTGAAGACATGTTGAGAAGGTAATTTATCCATGTAAATCAGCTGTGATGGATCAAGGACACATCTAAATCCTGCAGGGACACTGGCCCTCGTGGACTGGGATTGGGGACCCCTGGCTTACAGTGTCCACTGAACTGCAAATCTTATGTCATCATAGTGAAATCTAACCAACAAGCTATGCAGTATCTCGTCTGTTGATATCTTTGTCCCCACGTCTCTTCTTCAATACCTACCAGAGTTGATTTGACTTGATGTTACTCTAAAAGATATGCAACCCTGTTAGCTTTTCCTTCTGAAAAATCCTGTTTGAATCTTGACAGAGAGTGAGTTTCTCCTCCTGAAGTTTCTGTCCTGCTAATTTAGTTAACACTAATCAAGGTGGATGCTCGTAATCAGGATGTTTCAGACCCAATTATGCAGCAGAAGAAGCTCTTTTTCTTTTCTTTTTTTTCCAGATGTGTGTGACAGTTATTTTTGAATGGTGCCAGGTGTTCTTCTAATCCAGTCTATCATGTTGGATGGATGTTTGAGGGGGAAAAGTATTTTAAATGTCCTGGAGCTCTGTAGTGTTAGTGAAACCTAATATTAAATACAAGCCACTGTGATGACATGTTCCTCTGACCTTTTGCTTGTCTAATATCTTTCACACCATTTTCCTAACATTTCCTCAGAGGTTGTTAATCTGGTCGAACATCCTGGTACGAGAAGACATCCAGCCTTTTAACTGTTTTCTGGAATGCTTGACTGGCGGGGCAGATATTGTGTATTTGATTGTACAGAGATTTTGTAAATATTAATATGATATATTCTACACCAGCAATCTGTCCGTTGATAAAGTTGTTTTAACTGTTCAGAGCCAGGTTTCCCAAGCACGACTCACAATCCCAATGCAGACAGAAAATGCATCATCACAAGACAGAGTTATTACCTTTGCTAATAATTCTATTGGGGCTGTAATTTAAAACTGTTGGCTAATTGTGCTGTGACTGATTAGATTAACTAGACACTAAGTTTTGTGACATTAACATGTAATTGTGTTAAATTTGCTAATTGGATATATAATTAATATAAATAAATAAATAAATATATATATATTTTACATTTATTACCACTTGTTTATATACATTTCCCCATTGAATTCAAATCCATTTTACTTCGTTACCAAGGTTATTTCTTAATCTAAGTTCAACTTAACATTACTTAACATTAGGTGGCGATGAAAGATGTAGTTGTTGAATCAAAGCTTGTTTGGATGCTCTTTGGTGGCCTCAGTGGGGGGGTTGCCTGTCTTCTGTCTGCTGGATTTCAGTGCTGGTTGTTCACCTTGGCTCGCCTGCATTTGGGAAGTTTTGGGAATCCCAGTGCTGGTTGTCAGCGTCAGTTCTGCTGCTGCTTTTAACTCTGATTTGGGGGGAAATGGTTTTAAAACAGTCAGTTTAAAAAAAATGGCTCCCTGCCTTGTGCAATGTGTATGTACTGAAGTGAAGAGATTTTTTTTTTCTAAAGAGAAATAAAACTAAAACTGGATGAGATTTTTTCTGGATATTTCTTTATTGACCTCAAATGAAAGGTACACTGCAATCTATACAGAATAAAGATGAAAAGCATGAAGTAGTTAGAAAAAAACGCTAATAAACTATAGCTAGTTTAAAGGTGAAAGCTACAATTAGAGTACTTAACTATTTATTTATTTGTTATTTTTTATTAAAAAAAAACATTTTTTTTCAAGCTGACTGGATGACACAGTAAAAGTATTATGGATATTATGATCTGATGGTTGCACTTTTCTGGTAGCGGGGTGAACAATTACCACTTTATTTTATATTCTGAAAAATAACAAGTAAATACATAAAATGAGATGCTGAGCTTCTTTAGAATAAAATCTGCAAAAAATACTGCACTTTGCCAGAGGGGGTGCTGCAGATTCATACAGGTTAATGAGTTTCTGAACATAAATTTCTGAACATATTTCTGAACATAAAACATATATAAATAGATACAGATCTGTATGCACTGGGACTGAATATTAAAGTGGGCGTCCAGTCTCCACTAAAATATTTTTGGCGGGCATTCATTGGTAAGTCAGGGCGAAAATTGGCAAAACAATCCACCTCTGGGAGAAAACATTTTAAAATCAATTGCAAGACAGATTTGAAAAAACAAATTTTGAACATTTTTAAATATGGCACTGCAAAAAAGTGAAAATAAAAAAATTAAAAATATATATATATTTTTTCATTATTATAAAAACCCAGCGGTATATTAGCTGGCAGATATTATTACAATTGTTTGTAATTTACGTGCCAATAAATACAAATTTTACAAGTAAAAAGTCGAAGAAACGCCTTTCGGCCATGTTAAAAGAGTTGACTTTGCATACACAAAACATAGATCTGAGCAGAGTTGGGTAGCGAGAAAAAGACTCATTTACGTGTTGTTGTGACATTAAAAAACGTTTAGGGTCGTTGTAAGTACTCATAACTAAATACACACAACAAATGCTTGGGAATCTGCTGGTTTCGTGTACCTGAAAAAACAATATTATTTTTACTGTTATCACTATTATTGCGTGCATAGCGTTTTGTGCAAGTCTAAAAAAACTCATCTTCAGTCCTCCAATGGCGGAAGCGTAGCTCCACTGCAGCGTGCTGATGCGTCGAAGGATCAGCCAATTAGCTTCCACTTCTTATCAATGGAAGTTCTCTGTGTTACTGATGAACACTTGAGTCATGGAACGGTGACGGAGGGGAGCGGAGATTATCTGGAGGCTGTAAGCAAACACCCGTACTTCTCACTTGTTTTGTGTTTTAGTCTTGTTCAGTACTGCTCTGCTGTTTCTGTTCCTGCTCGTTTTTCTTTCCAGTTCCATTCCTTGACCCTCTAACCCACATAGGCTATGTGTTGATGTTTACTCTGTTTTGACTTGTACTGCAAAAGGCTGCTGCGAAAAACAGCAGAAAAAATGCATTTACCTGAAAAAACAAAGCATGCTTTTAGATGACAGTCATAATAAATGAATTGAACTAATTTACATTTCTTATGGATGCTTTCCCCTTTTTGTTTTCAAATGAATATAAAGTGAAATCAAATATTCTGTGGCCACATTTTACAACAAATTACAGTCTTCAATGACTTAATGTAAACTTTTTAGTGTTTCAGAGCCAAAAGGTTTGCATTTTACTGCAGGGTGGAATTTCTGTGTTTCATACGTTTGCTGGTAGCACAGGCATGCAGACTAACAACCTGTTATTTTGTTAAGATAACATTTTGAGCAACATATGACATAACAAAAGAAGCTGCACACAAACCTTTGGACAAACACATGAGTGGAGTTGCAAAAGCACAGATAGGCCAAGTGCAATACTTTACATTTTAGTTTCTTGTTAAGGTTTTAATTGTCTGTTTTTTTTCTGGTGTTTTATTTTGAAGGTTTGCTGTTCTACTGGCTATTCTGTTGTATTTGTCACCACACATAAAGCTAAGACCCAGGAGCTGATTTGTAAACACAAATTTAGCTAATGTGAAACCTGGAGCTTAAGAAATGGAAAATACACATTTTGCATATCAACATAATCTGACATCGCACAGACTTTGTACTCAGGAGCTGGCAGGTTAAAGACTGGCTAATGTTCTCAGCTGATCCTCGCCTGTGAATCGAGTTGGCTAATCATATATAGGGTTCGCTATTTAAGCTGTTTGAACCTGCCCATATCTCCTGCACTGCTGCAAGTTGTTTTGCAACCCACTTCGACCCCATCCCTTGCTTTCATGCAATATTTAAATAAATAAATATCATATTGGTATCTTTCTGCCTGCCTACAACAGAGCCATAACAACACATATAAATTACTTCAGGTAGAAATGACAGTCCCATACTAAAAATATACAAAAGTTTTAACTTAAAGGATCTAAGTGAACTACATATGCACCGTTTGTAGCTTTTGCATGGTCAGTGTTTCCAATAAATGTACTTTGTTTGAGTTTCTTGACCTACTTTTCAACCATGAAATCTGTGAAGTCGGTAACTAAAATAACTGACTCTAAACTCTAAAGGCCATTATGGTGTCCAAAAAGACTACATCATCTTTCTTTGTTTTTTCTTATTAAAATGTTCAGTAATTGCTTCTTTTGACTGCTCCCATATTAGGAAGGGGTTGGCACAGACTTTTACGCTGCAGCCATCCTTCCTGACACAACCCTCCCAGGGATTTGCGTCTCCTACTGGTATGTGAATGTGTAATAAAAAAGTTTTACACTGTGTATTTATGTGACATAACAATAACAAATACATAGGAAAATAGGTTTAATGTTATACTTATTGATAATGTAATTTCTATAATTTCTCAGGAGGTGGCAGAAGGCACACCGACAAATGAGGGTGATTTAAGAGACATGTAACAGACAGGTTTGCTGACATCAGCTGGTTCTGTAAATGGCTGGAGGGATGGCAGTTACCAAGCAGGAGACACTTGAAGGAGGCAAAAGTGCATCTGGAGTCCGGACCGAGCCTGAAGGAGGCTGGGGTTGGATGATTGTCGCTGGTTGTTTTCTCGCTACCATCTGCACCCGAGCAGTAACCAGGTACCAGTCCTCACTTTGAAGCTAATTATGCTTAAAAACTACAAAATCGCTTATCCATAGATTTTGCTGTGATTTTCCCGTTGTCACTACTGGGCACACTCTTTATATGCTTGTGATACAGCTTCCATTTAGTATTTCACTGTATGATTTAATCTGTTATTAATTTAAGAGCACCAGGCCAACAGCAAATTATTTCCACTCGTTGGTGCACTTAAATCTTTATTCTCCACAAACTACTCAACATGACTTCACCTCCAGGTGTACAAAGCTCCAGCTTAGCCTTTTGTAGCAGGTGTAGGATTATTACTATGCAATATGCAGTTTTGACATGTAGCTGTACTTAGCAAGACTTTATGTTCTTAGATTATTAACACCTCAAAGTTATTACTTGGCAATAATCCATTCTGACTCACTTCCAAGGTTTAAGCGTCTCAGCAGCCATATTTTTTTTTCTACTAAGACTTTGAAATCCTACAGAGATGTTTCCACATTTACGTCACTGTACATTACTTTCACAGGTCTGCCACAATCTGGTGTTTGGCTTTAATTGAAGGTTATCTCTAGATTTACACTATAGAAACTGACTGGGTGAACAAACTGGGTGAAATGTGTAATTTAAAAAAAAAAGTGACCTGGATAGTTTACAGCATGTGCTGGGAAGAAGACGTTTGGTGAAGTGTTGTGTTTTTCCATGTAATTTACGAACATGTTCTTTATAATACTCAGTATTTCCCAACCACCCCAGCTCACGCAGGACATAATGTCACTTGCCATATATCTCAATAGATAATATAATCTTTCAACCCTGTGAGGTCACCCCTATAGTTTACATTTGATTTTGAAACTGTAGATTTTCCTGGGGGGAAAAAATATGTTTTTTTGTTTTGTTTTTTAACACCTAACAGGATGTTAGAGAAAATGTCTTAGCTTGTAAAATTGAAGAACAAAGCCATTCATCCTCTAGTTTGTTTCTCTGCCTGAAATAAAAGCTAACATTGCTAAAGCTTTTGTAGTACTGGCAAACAAAGTACAAGAAATGAAAAAGTGTGTAATGATGAAAATAATAATGCATCGAATTCTGTTTTAATGTGAATTTTATCAAGGCGGTGAGTGATTTACAGCACTGTTCTTGTCTGAGGCTTCAAGAACAAGAAGTCCTGCCTGGTGTTAAGTAACAGACAGCAAGGGTGAATAAAAATACAGGTCATGGAGTGCAGAGCCCTCCAACTGTTTGATATAAATGCCTGTCATAACCTGATAAACATTATACTTGGTTGCCAAGTCTGACAGACTAGGATTTGGCAAGTATTAAATAGTCTAATTAATATTGCATTTGGCCCAAATCATCACCCAAAAGTTAATATATACATGATATAGATAGTGGATGTAAGATCCCATCATATACTGACCTGAAGATACGGTGTTAGCCCAACTGACAGACTAATTATGTTTTATCTGTTCTTCGATATGAAGACTTTCTCTTTTCTTATTGACTTAATGTAATAAACCTCTTTGAAGTTGTTATTGAGGAAAGCTACTAATCCTATTATCATCAGTTTATTGCTTTATTTCACTCTTCCTTATTCATGTCACAAACAATCTCTCTGTATGCAGATGTGTCTCCATGTTCTTTGTTGAGTTTCAAATGCACTTTGAGAAGGATTACTCCAACACGGCCTGGATCCACAGCCTGATAGACTCCACCACTATGCTTTGTGGTAAGATGATCATTTGCACCAGTTATCAAAAGCACTTCAAAGGCTAACAGTGTATATTGGGCGATCGTGGCTCAAGAGTTGGGAGTTCGCCTTGTAATCGGAAGGTTGCCGGTTCGAGCCCCGGCTTGGACAGTCTCGGTCGTTGTGTCCTACACTTCACCCGTTGCCTACTGGTGGTGGTCAGAGGGCCCGGTGGCGCCAGTGTCCGGCAGCCTCGCCTCTGTCAGTGTACCCCAGGGTGGCTGTGGCTACAATGTAGCTTGCCATCACCAGTGTGTGAATGGGTGGATGACTGGTTGTGTAAAGTACTTTGGGGTCCTTAGGGACTAGAAAAGCGCTATACAAATACAGGTCATTTTTAAAAAAAATTTATATTCTTATCAAACCATACACAAGTTAGGAGGGTATAGTTTGGCCAGAAGGGGAAGAAACAAATCTTGTTGCGATTAACAGGCATCTACACAAACTTGCTTTCCTTTTGAAAATGAGGCATTAATTGGAAAGAAAATCTTATGAATAAAACAAATCTACTGAAACTGTCTCTGCAGCTCCTCTGGGCAGCTTTCTTGGGAACCGTCTGTCCTGCAGAGCTACAGTGATTCTCGGAGGCATGCTGTCATCTGCTGGTCTGATTATCAGCTCCTTCGCTAACAGCCTGGAGTATCTTTATATGTCTCTGGGTGTCCTCACAGGTACATGTTCATGATACTCTGCTGTTATCTGTTATCTGTTGTGTACTGCAGATAACAGTTAACAGCCGCATGGGGGACTGCAGCAGTACTCCATGTGCACACGATCCTGTACACACATATCTAACATACACAGCATGATCTTAAATGTAAGCACAGAAGATTAAATGGTAACAGCCATGCGTCAACAGGGAACCTGCCTGGTTGTTGGAGATCTTGTCAAAATCATCTGGAAGGCTCCTGATTGTCATGGAGGGACAATGATGCCACCCACACTGCCAATGCATTAAAAGCATACCTGGATAGAAAAACACGCAGTGTAACATAAGTCATGGACAGAGCCCAAACCTCAACATTATTGAAGCATTGTGGGATCATCTTTATAGTGAATTAGGGCTGCCACGATTAGTTGACTAGTCACGAGTACGTCGACTATCAAAATCGTCGACGACTGATTTAATAGTCGACGCGTCGTTTGAAGCTTTGAAAGATCCCAAAAGACGCAGGAATAAGTAGTAGGAATTAAGAGTGTAATAACGGACTGAAACAGAAGATGGCAGCACTGCATGTACAAGGATGCCAGCTGCCGTTAAGCTGTTAGTTTTAATATTAGTCTTATTATTCTTTCTGTGTCACAAAATAAACGTTTAACATATTTTCAGGCGAAAATGTAGCTGTGTAAACCTCAAATATCTGCTCAGTTTATCAAGACACCACATATTTGCAAAAGCGCTCCGACGTTTTCGGAGACGTCTGTTACCCACTAGCTCGATAGCTAGCCGGGGGCAAGGCTCACTAGAGCCCGTGAGAACACCGGACTCCCGGCAAATCGTTTTCAAACCCACTGCCGTCTTTCGCTACTCAGGTTAAACATGATATATGAGTCACTTAGATAACTTAAAAATGTTATTGTTTGGCCTTTTTTTAGTATTTTATTTGTTCCTGAGTAAATCGGTTTGGCTGAGATTAAAGTTATAGTTTACACAGCTGAATAAACGTCAAGCAGACAACTGATCATCAGAAGTATGAGATGCTCGAGAATATACTCCGGTGTGCTGTTATATTTTAGATAGCAAGGAGTTTGTTAAACTTCACCGAAACAATCTGCAAATTTCATTAAAATTTAATAAACACTATCATCTTGTCTTTACTGTTAGTTAGCACATACCTTAAACATTTAAAGCTGTAAGCTAATGATAGTTATATAAGAGCAGATGCTGCTGGTGTAATAAGCTGTACGTTTTACGTCCAATGGATGATGATCTGATTAGTCGACAAATCGCAAAAATAATCGGTGACTAGTCGACTATCAAAATAATCGTTTGTGGCAGCCCTATAGTGAATGAAACAAAAGGTGGCCAAAGAAGAACTTCAAAAGTCCTTCAAGAAGCCTGGAGAACTATTCTTGAAGATTACTTAAAAGAAATGACAAGAAAGCTTGCCTAAGAGAGTTCACAATGTGTTGTACATATTCTGCTACTTATATACTGCATTTCCACACATGTCTGTACATTTGATGTGTGGCTCAAGACTTTGACACAGTACTGTACAAACATCTATATACAAAGACACAAGCTACTTTTGACTGGTCGCTACAGCGGGTAGCTACACATGTTTGATTTGGCACATTTTTACTACAGATGGCCTTCAAAGGGTTTGTGGGTTAAACCATTTAACAGAAAGATACCACCGACAGAACCTCAGGGAGCCTCGACCTATATTGTGACCACTTGAAGGGAAAGGGAAACAGTTTTTTTTCACTTGTTAAAAAGGAGAAAAAAACAGAAGCATTTTTACAGGGGAAAATATAATGATATGAGCCGTGAACGTTAATGATGATCTTACTGTGGAGTTTAAATATTGTTATACCAAGTTGCTTTGGGGAAAATATTTGCTAAGTAAATAGCAGATTGTAGAATGGCACATATGAGAGCTTCTGATGAGATTTGGCAACATATGGCAGGTCTCCCAAACTACAAAAACCCTTTATTCATTTTCTGCAGGTCTTGGCTTTGCTCTCAGCTACACACCAGCCATAGCGATGGTTGGGAAGTACTTCAGTGAGAGGAAAGCTCTGGCTTATGGCATCGCTCTGTCTGGTAGTGACATCTTTACTTGTCTTCATTTTTCTTTCTTTTCACTGATACTTTATTTTTCTCACCTCACCTGTTCATTCTTCCTTTCACCATTTCCACCTGTATGTATTTACTGTGTTCCTCTGTGCTTTTTTCAGTCTGCTTTTAAGTTCCTCATCCCATATTCCCCCTTCACTCTTTTCGTGTTTTATTTCATTCCATCAAATCCAATGTTACCTCATCTTTAGGCAGTGGCATTGGGACCTTCCTCCTGGCTCCTGCAGTGCAGCTCCTTATAGAGTATTATTCCTGGAGAGGAGCGCTGCTCATTCTTGGAGCATTTGTGTCCAACTTGTGTGTCTGTGGTGCCCTGATGAGGCCGCTGGAACCAAGAGGAAGTCAAAGGTAAGTTCTTGGGTATTTTGGTGTATTTTACTTGGATATGAAAGAAATATGTTGCCAAAGTAAAACTACTGACAGGTAAAATGGATAACATTATTCATCTCATTACAATGAAATGTTCTTCTGGTAAATGTTACCCAAATGGCAGCTCATGACTTAGTATAGCAGTGTAGCAATCTGCAAAAACTGCTCAAAGAGCCACAGTTGTTTACCCCCAAATTCCAAATATCCCAATTCGATTAACTACCTACAGGATACACTAGGGAAAAAAACCTGATCCATCTTGCCACAGATTTAAAAGATCACCTAATCCTTAAAAAATTGAAATCTAATTATTTTCTTATCTTTCTCACTCCATCTGAAGGACATGGGAGAGCAAGCTGACAAAATTTGGGAAAAACTGCATGAAGACAGTGCTGGATTTTAAAGTCCCTGAACAAATATCTGCTGATTGTATCCAAGTGGACCACAAGCAGCTGGATGTAAAGAACTTAAAGGGTCCTCAGGGGCTCCTCATACCGAACGGAACATTGAAAAACTTTGGACTTGAAAAGGGCAAACTAGGTAACATAGCATTTCTTCCAACCCTGGAGCCATCTGATCGGAAGTTAATAGATCTGAAGATAGGGAAATGCTTTTTATTTAGCAACTCACTAACAGACACAATGCTAGGCAACATTGAATTTTCAGATCTTAAGCTACCCAACACGACCGAGGACTTGATATTGGTGGAAAGCATTAGCTTGAGCAAAAACTTGGCAGACATGGATGGAAAGATAGAAGACTCAAAATTTAATGAAGCCAGACAAAATGACAATAATCCTTTAGTAAACCCTTCATCCAGAGCTCAGTGCTTTTGTTTCGAGTCCAGGGAGGAGTTTGGCTTCCTTTTGATACCCAGCTTCCTGATTTTGTCCATGTCATTCCTGTTTATGGCGTATGGTTGCAGCCCTCCAATAGTTTACCTGGTTCCTTATGCCCTCAGTTTGGGGGTGCAGCCTCAGCATGCTGCTTTACTCATGTCTGTATTTGGAGTCTGTGGAATTGTTGGCAATATCACATTTGGATGGATCACAGATAGGGGGTAAGTATTAACCTGGAGTGTATTTTTGTTAGTTAATAATTAGTTTGTTGTATTAAATTCAAAGTTCAGTGGTGATGGATTTCCTTCGTTCTAGGTGTGTTAGGAGGTTTCGCATGCTGAGCTACACGGTGGCGATGGCCATGGAAGGCCTCTGCTGTATGTTCATGCCTTTCCTTAGCTCCTTCTCCCTTCTCGTGCCTTTTTCCATACTCTATGGGTACTTTGATGGTGCATATGTAGCACTAATACCAGTGGTGACTTCTGACACTGTGGGCTCCACCTATCTCACCTCAGCTTTGGGTGTGGTTTACTTCCTTCATGCCATCCCCTACCTGCTCAGCCCTCCCATTGGAGGTAAGGATTCATGAATATACTACAGCAGAGTTAAGAGTCAAACTTTGTTTGTTCATCCTAATTATTCCCCCATGCATGTTCTAGCCTCTATACCAACCTTTTTAGGTCTTTTTTGCCTTCTAGAATCTGCTGTTTGCAAAGAACGAGCAGCTCTCTCCACTTGTTTTTGTTTCATAAGCCATAAGGCACCACCTAATTTTCATTCTTCATGCTTTTACATCCATATTTTCAGAAATAACTGTGCAGAAGTTTGAGCATAAACTCTGTAAAACAATGCCATTTTGGAGGAAAATAAGTCCTACTTTAAAATATGGATTAAAAAAAAATGTGTTTATCTTTTTTCTTTCCTATTTCTCCAGGTTGGTTAGTTGATCGGACTGGAAACTATGCAGCAACTTTCTTCCTCAGTGGGGCTTCCTTTATCTTCAGCTCTGCAGTCCTAGCAGCAGCCATGTTAGTTAGACACTGCCAGAGGTCCAAGTTGAACTCAGCTGCACATTTAAACCCCAGTCACACGGCCGCTGCAGCTCTGCAGAGCATCCTATGACATGTCAACCTTGCTTCTTATTCACTGTCTGCACAGGTGCCGCTGGTCTGTGGATGTACTAAGATAATAATAATGTGTGACTGGGCTAAAGATCAAGAAGCAAGTGGCCAGGAAGGAAAAAACATAGAGTTTTAGTTATTTCACAGTGACATTTTCCTGTTTGTTTTCTTTTTTGTTGTTGTTTTGTTTTTTTAATGACTGGATAAATATTTTCTATAGTAATTAACAGTATAGTCTACTAACTGTCTGAAGTAATTTTGCTTTTTAAAAGATGATACTTGAGAAGTGCCTTCCAACATAATTTAAAAATGAAAGTTCCTCATGTCTCTTTATTTCTGTTTTTATATTGAAGACCCGCTGAATGTGAAAATGTAAGCTAATCCTAAGTGTTTTGTTTTTTTGTTTTTTTGTGTGATTCTACAACTTCACCTCCAAAAAATGTTGGCACGCTGTGAAAAATGTGAATAAAACAGGATTGCATTCATTTGCAACCCACATTTCATTCACAATAGAAAATAGAAAACATATCAAATGTTTAAAGTGACACATTTTACTGTTTCATGAAAAATAGCTCCTTATATTCAATTTGAAGACACAAAAAAATTGTGAAGACTTTAAATACTTGATGTCATATCTTTTCGAATCTGGAAAAATGTCTGTGCTCAAAGCACAAGGCCACAAACCAGTATTGGATGTCTGTTGTATTTAGGCTCTGAGACAGCACTGCATTGCAAACAGGCATGATTCTGGCATAGAAATAACTACATGGGGTCAGGAAAACTTACAGAAATCATTGTCTGTGAGCACAGTTCACTTTGGCATCCACAAATAGAGGTTAAATATCATGAAAAGTGGAGTCCAGAAAAACTGCTGTCATCTCTGGGTCAAAACTCATTTAAATTCACTTAAGCAAATGGAAGCCTGTTCTGTGGTCAGATTCATCAAAATTTGAAATGTATGTTTTTTGGAAACCATGAATGCTGCCTCCTCTGAACAGAAGAAGACTGGGACCATCCGGCTAGCTGCCAGCACTCAATTCAAAAACCAGTCCAGTGTCTATAATGGCCATTTGCAATATAGAAAGACACCATCAAGCTTGAAAGGTTTGTGCAGATTTTAGAGCATATTGTCCTATCCAGGTGCTGTTATTTCACCTCATCTTTAGGCAGTATTTTCTGCATATTTCAGCAAGACAATGTTAAACTGCATACTCCAGTTATTAGAACAGCATAGCTTCTCAGTAGAAAAGTCAGGGTGCTGAATTTCCCTACTTCAATTCAGCCCTTTTACCGACTAAAAAGATTTGGAGCATAAAGAAATGAAAAAGACTTTATTTATACAGCATCAAATCACAACAACTGTCACCAAGGCGCTTTATATTGTAAGGGAAAGACCTTAGAATACTACATTCAGAGAAAAATGCATCAATCATATGACCCCCTATGAGCAAGCACTTTGGCGACAGTGGGAATGAAAAACTCGCTTTTAACAGGAAGGAACCTCTGGCAGAACCAGGCTCAGGGAGGGGCGGCCGTCTGCTGCGACGGTTGGGGTGACAACACTGCTCTCCTAGAAGTCGAGCAACAGCTCAATTCACAGACATTTTTCGATTAATGTTAAAACACGAGGGGAAGCTACACAGCCCAGTCTCAACTTACTTGACACACATTGCTGCCATCAAAATTAACAATTTTTTAAAAATGATGCATCATATTGATATGTAAAAAAAATTGGAATGTTCTGTTGTGAATAAAAAACGAGTTCACTGCATTCTGTTTCTATTTGCAATTTACGCAGCATCCAAACTTTTCTTGGAAAATTACATCAAGGTTGAGGGGGTTGTTTTTAGCCACCAGGGGGCAGTAGGCCCATGTGTGCACTGTTCACCCTCTGTCACTAAATCATTTAATGCATTTCAAAAAGTTCATTCAAAACAGATGTTCTTGCAGAGACTGCTTATTGATGTGGGGAAGTGTAAATTCAGCTTGAGGAAACCAAAACAACAAAGCAAAATAAATGAAAGTTTACAACCGAAATTCCCTTGTCACCAACAATTGTGAAGTCTATGCTGTTTTAGAATGAATCTAAACTAGGACCGTATTTGTGCTGAATGTGCATTGTTTGATCCCTTTATTGGAAAAATAAAGAATATAGAATAGCTATCTTTATAAAAGTGGAAGTCAAATTTAATGTTAGTACAAACTGTAAAAATGGTGACAATTTAAACAGGTTTAAATTTGGACCTTTATGTGTAATAAATAATTCTGTGTGAAAGAAAAATGTCCAGTTAGGGCTTTTGTGAATCATCTGAACGCTGGACATACACTGAATTTGTTTATGATTTGTGGTGTGTTATCTATGGATTTAGAAATGTGCATCGTGTGAGTTGGTGCCTGTGCATTCAGGTGTGTGTTTGTTGGTGGGGGTGGTGTGGGGTGGGGGATGTTCACTAAAGAGAACATCCCGTTCTGGGTGTATCCGCCCACACACGGGGAGCCCTGCATTGTTCCGCTGCTGAAACCACCATTTGTGTGTGTGTGTGTGTGTGTGTCTGCTGGGTATTTTTTTTTCTTCTTTCTTTTCTGCATTCTGAACAGTGACGTTTGTGTCTCTGTCTGTGTGTGTTTACCTATCACACAGTAAATGCATGTGTCTGGCTTTTTAAAAATTATCAGCACCCTAATATCTTCAGTTATTCTTTGTCATTTTTGTGTTTGTTAAGCCAGAACCAAGTCGTCACACAGAAATGACAATAAATTAAGCATTTTTACGACAAAATACTACACAACTATACTTTTAGATCAAAGGAAAACATCAGTTTATCAATCAATTATATCAGTATCCGTCAAAAAAAGAATGCCGTCCATAAAAGTATTTTACCTCTACATTTTCACAATGAGCCCACCCGAAACCTTGGCTGATTGTGACCTACATTGTGACCTGTTTCCACACCTTGGCAGTGTGATTAGGTAGAGGATCATTAGGGGGTCTATTATCCCTCTGGGGGGGGGGGACACTCCCACAGGGCTTAAATCTGGGACTCTCCACCATTAGACCCTAGAACTGAAAAAGCTTCTCGGATGAGAGGTGAAACATCTTCAAACAACTTAAAGAAGTCCAGCGCTTTTCTTTCTGAGCTCCTTAGACCTCTACTTGCAACATAGTTTGTGTTGATCTGTCACAAACATCTTTTAACCTTCAGTGTGTGAATGGGTGGATGACTGGATGTGTAAAGCGCTTAAGGGTCCTTAGGGACTAGTAAAACATTATACAAATACAGGCCATTTACCATTTACCGAGATGACTTCATACGATGCAGTGTGCTGTGAAAAACGATTGATAGCACCCAGTCTAGAAAAGGGTGAGCTATTCAACAAAGGTTGTTGTGGTCTGTCTGTAGCTGTATACAGACGTGTGATGTTTTCTGTGAAGCTAGAAATCTGATAAGGTAGTTCTGTTTCCAGTAAGCAGTTTTGTGTTAAACTATGCTGTAATCCAAAATATACAGTTGCATACATTAGGTGCTCATGAAGGTGATCCACTGCATTTGGTTATAGTTTCTCTCTTTTAGTCTGAAGTGTGTGAAAGAGAATCCACCTCATTGATTCACTTGTTTTTTAAAGCAGCTGGTGAATGTTGTTAGTAGCACACAATTGCTGTCAGATAAATGGTGGCATAAAAAATACACAAGTTCTTACTTGTGTAATTGTTTTGTTAAGTAGGAATGCTAAAGTAAAATACAGATACCTCAAATCTGTAACTGGGTACATGACTTCTGTTAGATCATCTGAAAGCCTTTACAGGTGGCCTTGGTGATTAAACCTTGTGTGTGTGTGTTTGTGTGTGTGTGTACTTTTTAGTTAGAAGTTTCCAATGTGTAGGTGGATGCGTGGGAGGCAAGCAGAGGAGGGGTTTCCTCTGAGGTTGGCATCCCCGAAGACACCAAAAAAAAAGAAAAAATACAGAAAAAAGGACTTCCCCTGTAATAACTCAAATACACACACACACTCACACACACACACACACACACACACACACACACACACACACACACACACACACACACACACACACACACACATTTCTCCTTCCTGTTTCATGTTCATGCTTGCATAAATTTAACTGATTAGGCCCACATTAGAACTCTTCATACATTTGCCTGGTTGCTTGTACAAGAGTTTTTTTTTAGTCTCATTGCATTAGCAGATTTTCTCATCTTATATATAACACATTTGTTATGTCATCATGATATTCTTTCTTCTTAATGTACTTCTTACGTTTGCTCCAGGATTCAATTAGATTACTAATCCACATGAGTGGGCAAAAACCATAATGATGTTTCAAAGTGTCCTTTGATACTTTCTTTGATATTCTGGGAGAATTTCAGAATATTAAAGAACAAGTCCTCTGCAATACATTCAAGCACTTTGCAACTTGTCCTTTAATGTGTTTTTCTCCTGTTTTGCATATATTCTTCTTGTTTGTTATTTATTCCTGGTGTCTTACTATTTATATTTTTTGCACTGTTGATGTGGAGCAACCACAACTTTATTGTACATGTTTAATGACAATAAAGGGCTGTTCTATTCTAATTTGCAACCATCCCCATTAATGTTATGCTGCTTTGACCCCTGCAAGTAATACAACTGTGGCTGGCTGTGGAGAAGCTTATCTTTCTTGCAGATATTTAAACCAGTGTCTGCTTAATATTTCATTCCAAGAACTCAGTGTGGGTTGTGGCTAACAGAAACCAATATCACACGTTCACAGGAGGCCAGCACATGCAGATTTACTGGGTGCTTACTTACTGCTTTACTGCCTTAAAACAAGATTTTACCTTAGGATTGATCTGCCTTTAAATTCAATAAAGTGAATTATTGTAATTTAGATTTAAATAATATCTTTTTGCTGTTTTAAAGACCGATACTGTCTAACTACAGAACAGCACTGCTGCTGTGCATGGGGAGAGGTGATGTCACACATACGCACACATAGACAGCACCTGCGTTGTTGGTTTACACTAGATTCACTCTCTGATAAACTTTTGTCATGCAGCAGCCAGGTGCATAATGCCACTGTATGTCTCTGTGTGTGTGTGCTTTACCACATCACTCACACACACTTCTCTGTGGGAAGACAAACACTGTGAAAAAACAGAAGATGCTCCTGAGGAAACACAGGTGAGAAGGACAAATGTAGACACGCATGCATGCAGACAGATACTGTATGTTCCCTCAGTTGTCATGTTTACTCTGGAATAGCAACCCGGCTTGGTTATTTTGTAACATTTTGTCTGCCATGTTTGCTCTGAAATAGTGACCTATCCACTGTGTGCCTTGTCTCTTAACCATAGTTAGCTGAGATAGGGTTTAGCCCACGTGGAAAGGGTTTAAAAATATGCATGTATGACATGATCATTTTTCATTAGATGTCTTCATCTTTATTTTCATATTGTTTTGTGTTAGGGTTAAGCTTTTAATGCAA